TGCCCCCAACTACACGCCGCCTCCTGCTCCTGCTTCATCTCCTCCTCGGCCTCCTCCTTCTCCCAGCAGCAGCAGCAGCGCAACAAATTGATGGCGCAACATTTTTGCTACTATTTGTCATCAAAGCGCATTCCACGAACGAAACAAAACAACAACAAAATCTGAAAAAAAAAAAAAGAAAACAATCTTAAATAATAATCGTATCAAAAAATAACTCATTTTCGTTGCTCTTTAATTGCTTTTGATAAATCGCCGCTTAATCCGCTTAAATATTTATGTGATCATCTTTTATGGTATATATTGTATATATATTTTTGGTATTTTTTTTTTTTTTAATTTTATTTCTACTAATTTTTTAGCGTGCTAATTAAACAAAGGACACGCGGCAGCTTTAAGACCTCGCATAAATTCGCATTTGTCTGGCAGCAGGCGCGGCAATGGGCAGGAGGCGGAAACGAGGGGGCCATGGCCATGCCCAGATCGTAGCTAATGACTTGAGCTATCATCGATCAAGAGCGCATTTCAATAGCTCTAGCATGCGGTCGCATGCCACAACAAATTTTTTCTATTAATTCGGCATTAAAATCCATTTTCAATTTTTGATTTTATTTATTTTTATTTTTATTTTTTTCAATTACAATTGCATTCGATTGAATTGAATCTCATTGAATTGAATTGGACGCGGCAGCGGGCGATTATTGATCAATTTTGGCTGGAAAAATTACAACGTTGACCATTAAATTATTAACTTGGCCAAAACCCGCTGAGCCAGCTGCCCCACATGTGGCAGCCTCATTAAAGCAGCTCCGCTCCGTTCCACTCGAAGCTTGCGAACTGAAGTTCGCGTCGCGCCTCCTTAGTTCAATTATAAAGCAATTGAATTAGTGTTTGGATCGGGCAAGTGCCTGTTCCGTCACCCTGCCCCGCTCTGATCTCTCTTGAATCCAAGTCCATCAATCAATCAGCCACATCCAATCATTATGTAAGCGAGGCTGCCAATTCCCTGCCAATGCCTTCTCATGTATTGCCCTCTCTTTCTGACACTCTTCTTCTCTTTTTGCCAAATGCGTGAGTTTCAATTTTGATTTCTTCCTCTTTCTTCTTCTGGTTGAGCTAATTAGATGAAGTGTGCGGCGTGATGTGCAAATTGTTTTGTCCATTTGGATGGTGTCTTGTGAGTGAATTTGGGTTAATAGTTAATTGGGTTAACATGATGTTGGGATTGATTATGAAATGCCAGAGGGAGAGGGAGTGATAGAAGGAGAGAGAGAGAGAGACAGAGAGAGACAGAGAGTGAGTTGGAGCAGAAGAGAGAAAGGAAATACCTGAGGGTGTGAGAGTGTGTGAGAGAGTTGTGAAACATCTCAGGAAATGCTAGAGTGAGTGTATGAGGAAGAAAGAGAGATAGAAAATTAGATAGTAAGTGATAGAGAGAGAAAGACAATGAGAGATATGGGCTTAAAGAAAGAATTAAGGAGAGATACAGAACGCACGAAAGAGAGAGCCAGATACCTGAGAGGCAGAAATGTCCTATCTCATATTAAGGATAGATCAGAAATATCTTTCAGCAGCTGCCCTTAGCCACAAACTGAAAAGTGAAATAAATCTGACGCCTTTTGGTCCCATGAAAATGAACTTTGCTTTCTTGGCACAAGTCAAATACGTGCCCCCATAATTATGTAGCTCTTCACAGCTTATAAACGAGCAAACCAGAAAACCAGAAATATTAACCCCTAGTTCAAGTATTGCGTGTCGCGGTCTTATAAAAAAACAAAATGAAGAGAAACAAAAGCAACGGGAAAAAGGTAAAAAAAAAAGCATTCGCCCACCTTTCAGCCACATATCCGGCACGCGTCGCGCACAGGAACATAAACTTCATTGTCGACAAAATGCGTAATTATATCGGGTTCATCATGAGATAGCGGGTCCAAAAGTCAGGCGGTCATTAAAACAACCCCGGGCTGTCGGACACGAAAACAATTTTGTGGCACAGTTTTAACACCTTTTTGGCCCGAAACACGCGCCGACTGCAAACAGTTTGCACAACGGCCCAAACCAACTGTAACCAACATCGGGAAATGTATGTGAAAGAAGCGAGAAATGGGCACAAATGTGATACGAGTCGATGGGTAGCCTGGAAGGGGGGGAGAAGAGAGTGAGAGAAATAGGCGAAGAGCTATGCATTTTTATATTCATTTCCATTTCGTTTTTCCGTTTTATAGATTATATTAATGAAATGGGGTATGATATGTTTAGGGCAACGTATGTGATTGGCAGAAGGAAGTCAAAGTCTGAGAAGTCCTTAAAATTTATGAATGGGATGTGCTCGAAGATGAGAATTGGTCTATTTATGATCTAGCTGATCTAAATTGGGACTTATTATATGAGGTCGATATCCCTAAAATAATTAAGAGTCTGTTCAGCATGGAGTTAATTGAGTTATTTGATCAACGAAATTCTAAGATGTTGGTATTATATCTTCGTTCAGTTCATATGGATAACTGAACGAGATGTGCTGATCTAAGATTGTCACTCTTTATATAAGATATCAGACCAATATCCTACGATAAGTTAAATTATTTATTGAATTTTCTTCACAAAACTTTCCTTAGACTAGGTGCTTAAGCTTGAAGACATATTCTGATAGGTATAGCCCTACAGGGTATTTGCGAGTCGAGCACTTCTCTCTGTCTTAGTTATTATTTTTATGTATTTTGAGTCATCATTCGCTGACTGCGCTCCGCTGTCTACGCGAGGACACGCGACCGAGCGCATAATTTAATTTTCAAGGGTTCCGCGTTCGGCGTTCGGCGAGGGTTGCCCCAGGGTTGTCAGCCCTTCGGTGGACATGCGTGTGACATATGGTTAATGAAAACGTTAACTGATGACCTGTGGCACTGTGGCCTGTGGCCCTGTGGCAGGGCGCTGCAGCAAGCATACGTTACGTACATTATCATTAATTAGCGGGCATTAGGTGCCCCCGGCGAGTGTGATAAATGCTTCGCTTTCGAGTTTAGTTTCGAGCTGACATGCAACAGTCATAGAGATGCCAAACATCCGATAGAGACCAATAGCTATAGCCCATAGCTTCGCTGTGCCGATTTGCCAACGTGTGTCCAACGTCCAACGCATCTTTCAGGCTGTGGGCTTTTAATGCTCGCCCATGTGCAGATCGCAGATCGGATCCACTCAGCCGAAGGTTCTTCGAGGCGACAATTGCTGCAGTTGCTGCGGTCGCATGTAATTGCTCTTTGTTTGCCATTTGATGTCATGTTCTTGGGCTCTGCATGTGTAGGCCGACAGTTGACTTGCCTGCTCGTTCTGCTCCCAATGATTGTGCAACACGCAATTGCCAATTGCTGTTGCTGTTGTTGTTGCTGTTGCTGGTGTTGCTATTGCTGTTGCAATTGTTGCAGTTGTCGTTGCTTCTTTCATTTTGCGCTGATTTGCCGCCAGCATTTGCATGGAAATAACGCGTGCTCTTGGCTTTGTTTATTGCCACTTCTCAGCCAGCAACACCAACACCAACACCAACACCAACAGCAACACCAACACCAACAGCAACATTGGCGACGCGTTGCGTTTATTTTAGCCATATTGCGGCAAATTATTGCGGCTCCTTTTGCCAATCCAACGGATGTGCGCAATTTAGCCAACTAACTGTTGGATTGTCAACTAGCTCTATGCCAAAAAATAACAGCAACAACAACAACAACAACTGTTGCTGCGGCTGCTGCTGTTGGTGAAATTTATGTTTAGGCCATGTCCGCTGCAAACTGTAAATAATAGTTGAAAATGGAGTACACCAGGGCGGGAATTACATATATTAGGGGCATGTTATTCGCTCTGATTGAGGATGCAACAAATAAACAAGGAACACGTTGGCATAATTGTTAACTTGTTTATGTGTGCATGTAATGGCATGCAAGCATGTGCATGTGAGTGTGTAGATGATATATGTATTGTATGACTGAATGCATGATTGATTGTTATATAAGTACTACGAGAGAGAGAGAGAGAGAGAGAGAGAGAGAGAGATAGAAATGAAGAAGAGAACAGTGATAGAGTTATACAGAAGAAATATCTATCTCTCCCTCTGTTTTCTTCTTTATTTCTATCACTCTCTCTCTCTCTCTATCTTCCATACTTTTAGTTCTTATCTGTCTGTCTGAGAGACAGAGATAGAAATAAAGAAGAGAGCAGTGATAGAGCTATACAGGAGATATATCTATCTCTCCCTCTGTTTTCTTCTTTATTTCTATCTCTCTCTCTCTCCCTCTCTATCTATCTTCCACTCTTTTAGATCTTATCTGTCATCACTTTTTCATTTCTTTCTCTTTCTCTCTCTCTCTCTCTCCCTCTTTCCCTCTTTACATCAATTTTTCTCTCTCCTAACTAGAAATTCGTAAGAAATCATCACAGCCCACCTACTTCATAAGAATTGCTCTCCATATTGAGCACCAGCTCAAATTTTATCCCTTATGAAGTTGCCCTCCACAATTCTGGCACTGATGATGCTTTCAGGCTACTTCAGGCTGCAACGGCGTACGGTGGCAATCAATTTAATTGAGATTGATAGTCGGGCCACTTCCGTTTCATTACACATTACATTCCGCAGAGAAGAATTGTCTCGCCTGGCTGATAGTTGGCTGCTGATAAGCCCTCGATGCCGACTGCGTGGGCACAGGTTGCCAAATGGTAACCAGCGGAGTGGCGGAGGGGTGGAGGGGCTGTGCATCGCAGAGATCGGAGCCTGAAGATTTATGAGCCGTGTTATTCCGAGTAACTCACACGTCGCAGCGGCCTCCGAGTCGCAGCAGTGCGTAGTGCGTCTCTTCACATTAGCAGTGCATTGATTTTTGTCACTTGGGCAGGCGATTGGCATCGGGTGCGCGTGCCAGCCAATTAATCATGCGTAGACAGATGAGGAGCATGTGGAGAGATCGAAGAGCTGGCAACTGGGGGAATGATTGAAAAGTCGAAGGGATCGTTGTGGGGGCGCTTGGCTCTGGTCGATTTATTGAACATAAGAACTACGTGAGCTAACCAGCTCAATCAGTTAACGTCTAAAGAACAGAAATCGTATGATGCGAAACAGCTTCCGGATGCCCTGACTGGGATTGCGCCGGGTCAGCTGGGCCAGCGACGGCGACTCCAGCAGCGCGATGCGTATGAAGACCGACAGCAGACGCAGCGTCTCCGCATCATCCGTCTGCACCTCCTCACTGTGGCTGGCCAACGCCCTGGAGTTCCTGTGCGCCTCCAGCTGCAGCCAGGTGCGCGGATCATGCCGCTCATCCAGCGGCACCACCACTGCGTTCATCCTCGCCTGTCGTGCCGGCTGTGCGGCGCGCGTTCCATGAGAGCGCCGGCGGACGGGTCGGCTGCTCGCCGACCTGGGCTCAGCTCTGGGCTCGGCTCCGGGCTGGGCTGGGGAAGCGTCCTCGCGTTGCAAACGCAAGCGCTCACTGCGTCTGGGCGGCATTGCTCTAACAACTGAAAGCATCAATTTAAACATTTTTCACATCAATGATATTTTACGTATTATACACGTTATACATTTTGATTTTATATATGTATATATCTGAATAATATAATATTTCTTACTTTTCACAGCTGTTTTTTTTTTTTTTTTTTGTTAAAATTTTTTTTTTCTAATTTTTCAGCAGCTGCAGCAGTTGTTCTCGAGACTCTCCTTACGAATAGACTTTTGGTTTTTAGGCAAAGGCAAAGGCAGAGCTTCCTGGGCAACTAATTTTTGGGTAAACATTGACAGATTCAATTGACAATCCTATTCGTTATCGATTTAGTGTTGCTTTCGATAGGACGAATACCTAAACTAAGCCGACTGAGTAAGATTTCAGAAACTAATTTCGAAAGCCTGTACAAAATTCTTATTGTATATTTTATGCAGCACTACTCTTTATATAAATATGAACTACTTTTCTTATGAGCAATAATACTACTATTTTTATAAATGTATAGAGTATAAACATATAGAAAACTATTTTCATGAACATATAGACTATTATTTTTATGAAAATATACACTATTCTTCAATCGTATACTTTACTATGCACTACTATTTTTATGATTAATTACTAATACTACTAATATAATATAATGAGCATAAACACTATTGACTACCATTTTTACTAACAATTACACTATTTTTATCAACTTATATATTACTATTCTCATGAACGAATCCACTGTTATTTTCAGGAATATATGCACTACTATTTTTGTAAACATATTTACTACTATTTTCAGGTACAATTATACTACTATTTTTATATCCATGTATACTACTATTTTGAAATGAATTTGTACTACTAATCTTATGAGCAATCGCACTGCTTTTTTATGAGCATATGTACTACCATTTTCATGATCTATGGATTCCTATTTTTATGAACAATCATATTACTATTTTCATGAATATGCAAACTAATATTTCATGAACATTTAGGACACTACTTTTTTTTAACAATGATACTACTATTTTCATTAACATATACACTACTATTTCTACAATCACATTTACTACTATTTTCATAATCTACTATCATATATATTATATATCATATATGTTATATACTACTATCTAGATTTCAGCTAGCAATCACTGCCTTTCATTATTCATCGATTGAATAATTTTTAATTTTATATAATTATATACATAATTATTTTCCCCTACAAACTTAGTATTAGAAATCGTTTCATATGAAGTACGACTTGCATATATCTTAATATTTTAGCAAAATTTAAGGTTTTACTTGCAGTTGGTCTTGGCTTTTGTGGTTTGTAATGAGATTTGGCTGAAAGGCCACAAGCTTATGCATAAGCGGTCATTATTTTGTCAGGCACGACTTGACGCTTTGACAAAGTAACTGTAGATTTTGGCTGGCCGGCAGCCAATTGGCCTATTGAGCCTTTTGCGCCTGATTATAATGCTTATTTTTATGCCAACACAGCTGCGAACCATTTGTTGTCGCTCTCGTCGTTGTTGTTGCCGCTTGAGTTGTTGTTGTCGCTGTTGTAGGTGTTCAATTAAATATGCAAACAGCTTCAAATGTGTCTCGACTTGACCGAGTTCAAAGTCAAATTGGCAGCAGCCAAGCTCGCTTTATTTATCTCCATCGCTGCCTGCCTTTTAGCCCATGCATATTTCGATATCGAAAAGTTCATTGCCAAATGCAGCAGCAGCCGCAGYCGCAGCAGCAGCAGCAGCAGTCGCCACTGGGTCGGCCGGATCGGTCGGTCGATCAACTGCAGCTGGGATTGAGTCACACGCCGTCTAGCGGCGGCAACAACCCCAACCTCCAATTGCCGGCTGTTGTCTGTCCGAGGTCCGAGGTCCGAGCACGGCTCCACGTTCAAATTGTGGGCGGCCACGGATCTAATGGGTTTTTAGCATACCCTACGCTTGGCCATCGGGTCGCTAGACTGCTGTGAAAGAGTGACGGAACATGCTGGAATTATTGTCAAGGATATGAATTGTTGAAAATTAAAAACAAAAAAACTATAAATAAGAATGATATATGATTTGTATATTTTCTTTTTTTGTTATTATTGTGATTGGATTTCTACTGATACAGAAATATTTTTCAAATATAAATATATTTTATTTTAAGTCAACTTTCGATGTCACTGAAAACTACTCTATGCACTCCTTATTCATATGCAAGTGTATTTCGAATTCGGCTTGACGATATTTCACTTATCTCTGACTTATTCAATTCTGTACCTATTTTTCGTTATAAAATTCTAACCATATCGTTTTCATTTTGATTTTGATTTAATTTACGGTTCTCGGCTCGCTGCGGACACCTTGAATAATGTGTGCCTATTTATAAATATGAATTACGACTGTTGCTACAACAGATTAGAGCCGCGTATCCATTGGTCCGCACTGCATTTTTAATTGCTAATTAATTTAACCCAACACACACAGACAGAGAGAAACGAAAAACAATAATGCCAGCAGATAAGCAACTATTTTTTTCAATTATACAAACACCTGGTTTCTACTCCAGTTTAATGTGGACATTTTTCCTATTATAAATATAATTAAATTAAGCTTAAGTACATACTGACTGAGCATGTATGTGTGTGTGTGTGTGTGTGTGTGTGTGTGTGTGTGATATGGTTAGCAGTCACTGACGTTGCGTGGGCGAGTTGACAAATGTTGAAAACTATCGCGGTCCTGCTTGCCAAGCTCCGATTCCGCATCCGACTCCAGCTACAGCTTCAGCTTCAGTTCGAGCCGGAGTGTCTGTCTGTCTGTCGCCGTGGCTCACATTAAACAGCAATTAAGCTTAATTATAGTTGTCGCCGTTTTTAGTCAGCGTTGTTTATGTGCAGCGTGTATGCAAAGCAGTTGCTTGCAACACGCGTCCAACTGCACCGCCTCTTGCCGACTCCTGCCAGATCCCGCCCCCGCCCCCGCCGTAGTTCGTCGTGTTGTCTGGGCCAGTTAGCATTTGGCGAGAGGAGTTCCTGTTTACGGTTTTCTGTTGCTGTTGTTGTTGCAGTTTTTGGCTTTCGACTGCGCCCCTCTGTCAGTCTGACAGGCGACACACACACACACGAGACAACAACACACGATACGACACGGCCACAACACGACACGACGAGTGCGTCCCCCCCATTTGCTAATGGGCGCTTTTGTATGTTTCGCCTGGCTTAAAATGGATGAACCCGCTGCTGCTGCCTCTATCTGTGTGTATGTGTGTGTGTGTGTGTGTGTGTGGGTTAGCCATGCAGCTCTTGCTGTGGGTGTTTGCTGAGCCACAGCTGGACGCAGTCTGCCAACCAGACGGCAAGCTGAGCCGCCAGCCTGCCTGAAAGTAAAAGTTGTTGCGGAAGCTTAAGAAGTTGGCCAAACAGTGAAAAAATCAATAACAAAAGAATCTTTAAAGAAAACTGACTGAACCTTTTCCATACCAAAACATATATATATAGGTGTATGGTGTATATATTGTCAAGCATATGTTCCATATTTCCATAAAAGTTGTCGTTGGGTTGATTCGATTCGCATATTCCATAGCTGAAGTCTAGATCGAAACGGATTCGAAACGGATTCGAAACGGGCAACGAGTTCTAATGAAGTCATTCGAGCATGGGCAACGTATATGATTTATGTATATCAAGTAGACAAAAGAATAACAATACGGTCAAACAGATACCCCATGTGAAGGCATGAAGTACCCTTAGGCTATTGGAATTATATTGCAATGGGTGATATGATATACAAGTTAGACAGAATAAGAACAATTGAAAAGACATATAAATTAAACGTGTGCTTAAACTGCAAGAGACTATGTAGGGAGTGAAGGCGAGAGTGAGTGAGAGCGAGTGAAGAGAGAGAGAGAGAGAGAGTTACATAGAAAGATGTAAGATATTTAGAAAGAGAACCAGAGAATGTAAAGGACAGACATAGAGGGAAAATGAGAACGCGAGAAAGAGAGAGAGAGAGTGTAAATGAGAAAGAGAGAGAAAAGAGTGATAGAGAAAGAGAGAGAGCGGGAGAGTGAAAGATAGATAGCGAAAATCATAGAGGTAGATTAAGAAAGAGAAAATAGAAGTGGGGAAAATTAAAGGTCAATGTAAAGTGAACTTTATAAAAGATCCTGCTCTATTATTAAAGAGCTCTGACTCAAGTCAATAAAATGAATAATTACTCTAATTTATTCTTACATTAACATCTGAGCTTATAGCTTGTGAATTAATATCAAATCATAATAATTAATTTGATAGAGCAATATATATATTTATATATATTATACACATATAATATATGACTTGACAACAATTATATATAAGATAATTAAAGTAAGTTAAATAAATTTCCATTGTCTTGCATTCCATCTGTCTATTTAGATTGAATGTGCTCACACACACACACACACAGTCAGGTACTGTGCTCCCCGATCAGCGTTTAATACGTATGGATACATTAAGCATTCCCCACTGACATATTTACCCGATTGGCATAGTATCGACACCCACATGGAGATCGAATCGAGTCTGTACGGATTTGTATGCACAATTTGGCTTTGTGCTCGGCTTTGCTTTAATGAGCACAGAGCGCAAAGCGCACAAATTAATTGAAATAATAAGTGAGATCTGTCGAGGAGGGCAGGCACACGCGATCTGACTGGAATCGCGCATTGATTTCATATGAAATTCTCCTTTGTTCCGACATTCAGGTGGGTGCAAAGAGAGTGAGAGAGAGAGAGAGAGTGGGGGAGGGGAAACCTTTGCATTTATCAATTTGTGGGGTCCTCATACCTACACGTACTCCACATGTGTCTTGCTCATGTATCTGTATCTTTAGCTGCGACTGCGACTCTGTATCTGACTCTGACTGTTGCTGTGCGTTTTTATTGCGTTTATCTAGCAATCTAAAGCCAATTTAATAAGCAGCTTGCCCGCAAAGTTGAGCTGTCAGTGGTAACATGATTAATCAGCGCACAGACAATTGAAGATGCCCGACAAGGCGCGCGAGATGGCAGCGCAGTGCAGTGCAACAGAGATGGAGATGCTCTCGGTACTTGACGCCCACGTGGAGGGAGCTTGGAGTTTAAGCTGGGCAATGATGGATGCCAGGTCGAGGCATGTGGCGAGCGTTGAGTGGGCTTTGCGTTGCTCTCTTTGGGCTTACATGAAGTCTGCTGCGTTTAGTCAATGCAGCTAAAGAAGTTGGCTAACAAATGAACTGGTTTACCACTACTCTCTCTCTCTCTCTCTCTCTCTCTCTCTCTCTCTCTCTCTCTGTCTTACTATATCTATCCATGGCTAGCTCATAAATAAATGAGCCTCATAAAAATCAAACGGTTTATAATTTCAAATGGGCACACAACGACAACAATTTTATCGCCCCAATCAAAACAACATGACGCTACAAAATATGAAGAGAGATAGAGACAGAGAGAGGGAGGGAGAGAGACAGAGTAGAAAATGAAATGCAGTCAACAATTGAAATTATTATTTTTATTTTTAAACAATTTTCAAGCAGACAACACTAACAACAACAACAACAAACGTCTCGCATTTGCTTGACATGTTTGTTTCGTGTACAAAATATTTTGATAATAATCACACGGGCCATAACAACAAAAAGCAATTGAGTCAGTCGGTCTCTCCGTAGTCCGTCCGTCCACAGAGACGGACTCACACTTATCGGCTTTGCATTCTCATCTAAATGAAATTATTGTCTCTTGGCTATGTGAGGTACATAAAACTCTTTATCACATATCTATGTATTTTATATCGATTCTTTAATAACCTAACTGTTAGCTGACGTGTGGAGTTTACCCAAAGAAACACCACAGATTTATTGACAATTGTTGGAGAAAATTTTCAATTTGTCGTTTGACGTTGCGGGGCACGTACTGGGCGAATGTTAATAATCGTATAAAATGCTTGCGATTGCAGTAAATATCGAATACTCGAAAATTCCATTGCACATTGCTTAACACTGGCATTGAATTGCTGATGGGCAAAGCATGGACTTGAAGAGTGTAGTGATAACTCTGAAGGGCAATTGGAGATAGTTTATGATGGAGGAGGAACAGTTAGCTTACAGATGTGGTAACTGTTTGGTTAATTGAGGTTAGCTGAGTCTGGTATCTACTTTATTACAGTAGAATGAAATTTAAATCATGCAAAAAAAAAAAAATAAATAAAGCAAATACATTTTTAATATCATTTAAAAGGAATTTATTTCAAAAATAATTAACTGCTTGTAAATGAAATGTTATGAATTTTACGAACATGCTTTAGCCCCTTTATGTGCTGAGAACGACGGATCTCTTCGTACGCACAGATTGCTGGACAGGCTGTTTTCTATATATCTATATGAACACACATCTATATCCTTTATTTTATAGCGTCTACTACGCCAACGACTATTACTTATATATATTTTATCAAAAATCACCCTGATATCCCCTTTTTCAATTGTGCTTAGAGCATAAAAATACACGCTACGACCACCTTAATAAAGTTAGCAACAAATGATGTTCTAGGAAAATTACGTAGACAAAGTTCCATCATACCATAATAGAGCATAAAATTGCAAATAAAAATCGATACGCTATTTTGGCAAGATAGTCAAAAAATACGAAAAATACTAATAAGAGTTTATCACTCATTGTTCAACACTAAACTTGACATTTTCGCATTTCGTGCTTAACAAATCAAAGCAGGCCTTGAAAGTGGAAGCCCGTGGCAAAAATGCTATAAATAAGAAGAATTCGAGCAGGATAATTCATTAGTTCTCAATTGCTACGAGAAGTCGGTTGTCTTTACAAATCTCTAAAAAAGTCTGTGCAGCAAAAAAAAAAAAAAAAAAATTGAAATTTAGAACGAATAACAAAATAGTGAAATAGTGAAATTCGGGAAGCAAATTTAATTTTTTTTTTTTTTTTTCATTGTCTTTTCAAGTCTCTGGCAAAGTAATTGCAGCGCGATTTTGACAAATTCGAATTCAGCAAATTTTTTCTTGAATCTCAAAGCCTAAATAGTGAGTGCAGTGAAGGTTTTTTTCTTTAATTTCAATTTTTATTTATTTATTTCTTTTTTTTTTTTTATATAAATATGGCTGCATATGTGCATCGAATTCTGTTTAATGTTATTTCTGATTCCATTTGCCTTTTTTATTAGTCATACCAAGATGCTACGCTGCGGCCCTCAACTCGACTCAGATGATGATGATATGCTGGGAGCTGATTTTTCCGACTTTGACGAAGGAGACGAATCTGATTTTGATGACATTGGTATGCATGATTTTCCGTTTCTGGTAGATAGCCCTGATGAGACCATGCGGCGCTTGCGCATCTACGCCCGTTATCCGAACAACGGGATGCCGGAGACTCGCTTGAAGCACGAGCTGGCCCAGATCAGGCAGGGTCCCGTGGAGGGCTGCCGTGTGGATGTGCTGGATGACAATCTGTTCGAGTGGGCTGCCACGTTGAATGGTCCGGTGAACACGCCCTATGAGGGCGGCGTCTTTAACATACACATCTCGTTTCCTAACGAGTATCCGTTCGAGCCGCCGACCCTTAAGTTCGTGACGAAGATCTATCATTGCAACGTGTACGGCAGTCTCGTCTGCACCGAGAGATGGACGCCCGTCATAACGGTGGCCAAGCTGATGGTCTCCATTCTCTATATGATGGCAACACCCGATCCGATGGATCCGCTAAATCCGGCTATCGCCAAACTCTACATCTCGCATCGCAGCGAGCACGACAAGATCGCTCGCCAGTGGACCCGTCGCTTTGCCATGCCGAACTCTGAGAAGGATGGACAGTAGGGAGAGCAGGATGAAAGAAGCCAGATTGTGTGGTTTTTCAAAAACATTTTATTATTTGATTTTGTTGTGCCAGCACTTTTTGGTGTTTAGAAACGATATAGAGACACATAATACGCTAGCTACATTTACATATACACTTACACTTACACCTACACTTACAATTACAACTACAATTACTATAAAGAGAGCACACACACATAGAGAGAGATGCGCATCCGATTAATGTAGACCGACTACAGATACACTAAAAACTAAAATTATGGCTAACGGTGAACTATACAGAAACTAGGCGACAATGACACGTGGCGATTAATGTTCTCCTCATACAACTTGGCATTGATTAAATGTTAAACACACCAATACATATAAATGTATACATACATAGGATCTATATGTGTGTATGAATAAATATATACTATATGCACTTTAATACACGGGACTCCTTTGGCAGGCATGGCTTCTGCTGGGAGTGTGGTTGGAGCGAGSGAGGGAGGGGGTAAAGTATTGAATGCGATATACGAGTTAACATTAGTTAGGATCGTGCTTAGATATAAGATTTGCATTAATATGTAGTTAAGCAGGTGGAAATTTCATTTACTTAGCATTAAACTAGAGCCGAGTGAGAAAGAGATATATATCTATCTCTATCTCTCTCTCGCTCTTGAGTGCGAAAAGCTCTTTATATTATGTATATGTATATATTCAGGTTTCGTATTTAATATTTAATAGTAACACCATTTAACTATGCGAATTTCTCTTAGTAGCTTAACTAAAGTCCTTTGGATTGTGATATAGTTGAATTTGTAGGCCGCGAGAGAAAGACAGAGAGAGAGAGAGAGAGAGAGAGAGAGATGGGGAGTGGAGTCTCTACTCTGTTCGGCTGCTCTCCCTCACTTGTTCCTCCCTCACTTGTTCTTCGGCAGGTGTCGCTTCATGTGGAGCGCCAGGTGATCGCTGCGCGCAAAGCTGCGCTCGCAGACGATGCACTTGAAGGGCTTGGCGCCGGTGTGTTTGCGGTAGTGTCTCGTCAGCTCGTCGGAGCGTGCGAAGCGCCATTCGCACTCGGGCCACTGGCACGTATACGGCTTTTCACCTGCAAGCAAAGAGGCAGAAGGGGAAAACACAGTTAGCCATGATTTTTACAGAACAAAATTGACAAATGGAATGACAAATGCTTCAAGTGAAGCAAATGTCAGCAGCAGCAGCCGCAGCAGCCGCAGCAGCAGCTTCTTGTCGCGCCTGCTGCATGTATGCGCAAATTAACATTTTCATTGGCTTTTCATGTTAGTTGGAGAACAACTACAACACGACAACAGCAACAACAACAACAACAACAACAACAGCAACATCTATAACAACAAGCAAACAGCAGCTGGTAAGTCAATTCGCAGTTCGAGTCACTCAGTGTCGCGTATTTTATGATTTGGATTTTTAGCTCTGGCACACGACTTGCCGCTGCTGACGACGATGGCCCAACAACAACAACAACAGCAACAGCAATAACAATAACAAGAGACAACACGACGACATTTGGCGAGTCGAGCTACAAAATTGTAAACGAAATTGCGACCGGCCGGTGCCCAAATGTTTCTCCGCTGGCTTCGCTGCTCTATGACTAATTCACTGCGAGCGGGCAGCCGGCTGTGCGCAAAGCATTACAACTCAACGGCAACAACAACAACAACAACAACAACAGCAACATCAACATAAACATAAACATTCGTGTTCGAATTGAAATTGAATGAAATAATTATTGCGCTGCTTTAAATTTTGTGAACTTGACATTTTATGGCATTATTCAGGCATTGTCCCAGCTGGACCCCAACAAACTGTAGCGAATTCGCATTGCCCATTCGCTATGCATGGCTCGAAGTAAGCGAATTCGCTGTGCGCGTAATTCAAATTTTTGCCATTCGAGGCAATGCGACGCGACGCGAGGCTCAAGCTCAGCTCAACAATTCGAAAATTCGACAATTCGGCAATTCGAAAATTCTCGTGCAACAACAGCTTCACACTTCAGCTCAAATAACTCGCACTTCTAAGCTCATCTAAGCCGCTGAGACCCTTTTCACTGCCAGCAATAGGCGTAATACAAATTATATACTGAGCTCATTGAAAATGCAAAGGCAGGGTATGTAGGTTTAGCTGAAGTGTATGCAACAGGCAGAAGGAGGCGTGGCAGAACTCAATATAGTGTATATATTTTTGATGAGCACGAGCAGCTGAGTCGATTGAGTCCTGTCTGTCTGTTCGTATGTGTGAACAAGTGGGTCTCAGCACCTTCAGGAGATAGAGAACTAGCAGTTGAAGAGCGGGGCTTCAAGGAAACGATAACCATGAAAAACATTTTGCAAATTCTATTATACAAAATTTTATCTATTACGTCCTTAGATCTAGATCTTAGACCTTTATCAAAATTCTGTTAATTGAGGGTCAGTTGCCAATATCTTAAATATACTAAAAATCTTACACCTTTTTCTACAATCAGTAGCATATGTAGATTATATTCTGAATTATTGATTGGAATTCGCTAAGTAATATAGAAGTTCTTAAGCAAAAGCCTAGCCAAGAGTTTGCCTATTGAAATGCACCCATACATTCAAATGCAGGCCTTCTAAAATATTCTAGGCCTTCTCAGCTACTTCTGCTAGAGGCACTGCTCATAGCCCATAAAATTTAGGTTCAGCTCTTGTTCTCCTTAGAGAGGCTTTTATAATTATTATTATTATTTTGTT